ATTGAGCAAGATTATATTTAATGTTAGTTGTTAGCATGCTATTAATCTGCTAAGCTCATTTTGCAAGTTTTAAAATCAATTTAATTATTGCTAAAATTATTATTTAATTGATAAAAACTGTAGCAGGTTTTATAGCATATATGATCTTCACTTGTTGAATGTCAAATCAAAGAATTTATTGAATTTTGACATGCGATCTATATTTGTTTTAGCTATATAACAATAATCTTACTTGTTTTTAATCTTGCTGCTTAATCTTACTTGTTTTTTTGATCAAAATATAATTAATTTTCGTATTAATAGTTTATTTAAAATTTTTTCTTTAGTGTTAAATATGAAAATTTTTTATTTTTTGACCTTTTTATTAGGTGTTGGAATTAATTCGTAGCGTTTTTAATGAAAGAATGTTATTTATTTCACATGAGCATTAAAAAATACATTAATGAAAGTACTTCCATCTCTTGTAAAACGCTACGAATTAATTCCAACACCTAATAATTATTGACAAACGATACTTTCTAAATTCTTTGGAGTTGAATCACATTCTAAAGAATGAAAATTGAAAAGGAGTGATTCAATTTTCAGGAATGAGATTTTACACTCCTCAGAGTGAGAATTCATTCTAAAAGTTTTAGAGAGTATGATTGTATAATCAATTTGAATAGGCCAGCAGGATTAACTATTAATGAGAAATTAACAAACAGAAAAGGAATTTTTCTTATTTTATCAACAATGACGCGCGTTTCCTCTACTTCCGTCCTTTTATTCAGGAACCAATGTACCCGTAACCTTAGATGACTGTGGTTAACAGAGGAGGTCCCTCCCTGGTGTTGCGAAATCGGTACGGCTGATCACGTGTCCATCCCCTCGTCGTGTTCGTATTGCTCGCCGATTGGCCGCGTTAGCGATCACAGTTTCACTGCGTCGCGCGCGCTACTCGTTCAGTTGTATTGAACATCATTCTCGCGACGCACCTCTTATCACTGGTTTGCAATCGGCTACACGTGCGTGCACGTGTGCCTATACGTGCGTGCATGGGCGGTTACACGCGTACTTGTGTACATTTAATCAGGTGCATTATTGTGTTCGCCAGTCAAATCACGGATACTCGCGACGTTCTTGTCGCTCAGTCATTATTCGAGACGTGTACGTAGCATGGAGAAATGTTGAAGGAAATCGAAAAAGGTACGGTAAATTTTTGTGAGTTTTCATTCCATCAAATATTTGATGCTGACATCATACTTGACCTAAAAAAAGTGAATTGATTTCGCGATTTATCTGTGCCGCACGGATTTCGTAATCTTTACTTACCGATTTTATTGAAATTAAAATTATTATTTGAAATGACTCCTAAGGAATGCTGTTAGATAAAATGTGAAATAGTGTTATGCGCATTATTATGCACCTGATAAGTTTAACGTGAAAATTTACTGTGCTATAACAGTTTTAATTTCCTAGTTTATATGTATGTGTGTGAACTTTGATACAAGGATCAGTCATTTTTTATTGAATTTGAAGTGTTTCGATATGGCAAATGTTTCATAAGAATTTTATGGCATTTGTGATATAACGTGTTGCTAAGAATATCTTAAAAGCAAAATAAATAACCATAACATTAAAATTACGTTAAAATGAGTCTTTATCGATTGAAAGTGATTTTTATAGTAATCATTTTTGACTATAAAAATGTTATGATAACTTGTATTCTGCTTAGCATATATGTCAAAACATATGATTTTATGTGAATGTATATTACGTGTGAATAAGTAGAAGTCAAGTATAAGGCATTTAGAGATAATTATAATAATTAAAATAACATTATTCAGCCATAGATAGATTGCAATATGGGCCGTACAGAATGGAAAGCATTCGATGCTTTGAGTGAAACTTTCCTTTTAAATAAACATATATATGTTTAACTTAACGAGAAACACAAGAATTCGGCTCACGTTAATATTTACAATAGAAAGTGTTCGACTATTACTCTTTAAGAGTGTGATGGTAACATATTGCGGGTTCTCAAGGACTTAACGATGAAATAAACGCTACATACGAGCGGCAAAATTTGTCAGCTAATTAAGTGGTATTAATATTTAAATATAAAATTGCCGTGACTCGAGAACGTGCTCTTGCGTACCTACTAGCCATCATAAAATATTACTTTAAAATTATGCTTTAAAACACGTTATTCAGTCTTATGTCATACGTATAAAGCATGCTTCATTTTCATAATTATTGTGAAATAACTGCCAAAAAGCTTTTCGTGTTCGTATAAATTAAAGGTAAACGGTAAATATATAATGTCTAGATTCATTATTTTCTAAAACTTATTTATTTAAGTATTTTTATTTATTTTTTCGCATATTTTTATAATTTTTAAGAGAATATTCGAGTATCAAAAAGAAACAAAGTTTTTATATTCGTCAAATTGGTTAATTTATAGATGAAAGCAATTTCAAGGTATTTATTAATTAAGTATGCACCGTAAAGATCTACACAATGTATGGTATGCACAATTATTCATATTGAATATTGCATTTGCATAATAAATTCACGAGTCACATCCTCTTGAAATAATAAGGAAGTCGTATGTTGAAAAAAAAAATGGAAAATAAAATTGCACTTATGACATTTTGTTGTTTACATAAGCTCTGATAGAAATTATTTATGTGTTGGAAAAAAAGATTTATTATATTTATATTCTAGTATATTATAATTCAATCAGAAAGATATATATATATATATAATTATAAGTATTATATATATAAACTTCTTCAGTTTATCTTAAGTATTTTATATGTATATTTTTAAATGATCTGATTTCAGAATTACATTGTTTTCAATTACAATTATTCTCAACTTTTTTTAATGAAGATCTCATAATGGCTCTAAGATTTGTATTATGATGGACAATATTCGAACAAATACTCCAATTCAGCTCAAATACTTAAATGATTATTTGAGTTTTACTTATACTTGATTCTTGTATAATGCAGGTTTAGCGTAAATGCAGAAACGAATTCAATACTTTTGTCTACTGCATTTATCGATGCAACTATGTATATTTGTTAAGATGAAAGTATATAGAATATATATCGCTCACCATTTTGCTACATCAACATAACTTAAAAAATGTTATTTTGAAGTTGCTTACAGAAAAAAAACGAAAATATAAAAAAAGAAATTTATTAAAAAATATATACTCTTACTCTACAATAAAATTATCAAAATTGCATTTCAAAATTTCAATGATTTAAAACATTGAAACATTTTTTTTAGTTGTGTCCCTATATGTAGCAAATAAGAAATATATATCTCATAGTAGGTATTATGAATAGTACGTAAATATAGTACGTGATATATAGTGTACGTATAGTATATACTATCATATAATAAAATATATTATGTAAGTATTAGGTGTTGGAATTAATTCGTAGCGTTTTTAATGAAAGAATGTTATTTATTTCACATGAGCATTAAAAAATACATTAATGAAAGTACTTCCCATCACTTGTAAAACGCTACGAATTAATTCCAACACCTAATATATATATATATATAAGGTACTTATAATTAAATATTAAATATTCTAATCGAGATAATCAGAATTCTATAAAATTCCCCCATTTATAAAATTTATCCCAAAAATATGATAATTGTGGTACAAAACAATATTTTAAAGATTTTTATCATGCATTTCAGTAAAATTAATCAAACTTATTTTATTGTAGTTTTATTAATGAATGAGAGAGATTTACATTAAAATTCTTCGAAATACAATGTTGTCCCACGACTATCATATTTTCAGGGTAAACTCTAAGAAAAAATTCTCTCCATGTATGATCAGAATTTGTTTTACCCGTATTTTTTTTTTATATAATCACAAACTATTTTTTTTTTAGGGTGTTATTGCATTAATGACATAAAACATTCTCAACAAAATTCTTAACTTAAGAATTCGTTAACGCAGTGTTATGCATACAGTAAATAAAAGCTAATCTTGAAACATATAGCATGCATGCGATTATTTTTTAAATAGCTCATATTTCCCATTTTTGTTACGTGCGATTTATAATGGATTACATTGATCATATATAAAAATAAAAGTTTTAAAACAGTTCTCCAATTTAGAAAAATACATTCTCAAATAATTTTGATTTTGCAACTATATCAACTTATTAGTATACGTCAATCAGATTTTTCTAATTTAACCGACAACTTATTAGTATAGATCAATCAGGTTTATTTTCAGTGTTGAAATATATTTGCTAGAAATATACTTTGAAATTATATTTTAGCAATTTTTTATTATATTATTTAATTTTATATATCAATTTTATACTTAATATGATTAGTTATATATTATTATTATTTATTATCACGCAATTATAGGATTAAAGGATTATTCTAATTAGATTATTCTAACTTTACAATATTTTACACTTTACAGGATAACATAATCAGTTATTAATAAGTAATTTTTATTTTTTAGCAATAAAAAATAATATGGTTTATTTAATATGTAATATATTAAATGTAATTTTGTATTAATAAATAATAATTTAATAATTTCTTATTATACAAATATGGAATTAATAATATTGTTAATTGAATTTGAAAAAATATTTTTGTTACATGTATATTATTTATATAGTATTAATGAATAAAAATAATTAATATAACATAAGTAGTATAAATAATTAACACCTGCAATCAATATTATAATCAACTTAATTTAAAACTTGTTACGTAATTTTGAAGTAATTTTAAAAATTTTGTAAATTAAAGATTATTTTAGCTATATTTTTTGAACTTTTACAGAAGAATAAAAGAAGAGAGACAATAACTAATTAAAAAAATAAACTTGTAATATTTTTATTATGATACAAGTTCTATATGAATTTAGACTAATTATATTTTGTTTTGTTTTAACAAATGTTTTTGATAGATAAATTAAATAAATATATCCATCACAGAGGAGTATGTGATTTCGATTACAGATTTCTCTACAAACCCGGAGAGCGAGCAGTTATTATCCGTCGAGGCATGTGACAATTCACCAGACACGTGTGTGAGAGTTCAACCAGATGAGCAGTTGTCCATGAACGAATTATGTATTCAAGGCGTTTCGTCATCAAGATCGTTGCTTCAGGACAAATCCGCTGCATTAAATCTTAACACACATATAGGCGAAAGTCCGAGCGGTTTGACAACCGTGGTAACATCATCCTTGATTACCGCAAGTGGGAACGAAAGTAATGATGATCCGCCGCCTTATGCCGCAATTACGCCACCAAATCATACCGGTTGGCCGTACGGACTTTTTTCATTCAACGATTCATATTTTACGGACGGGACGACTCATAGGATGGAAATACCGTTAACGCCTTTCCAAACTCATCTGATACCGGTCACTGGTTTCCAGCCCGAAGGGATTAATGGTCGATACAGATCTTACCCAATGTCCTTAACGACGCGTTACCAGTTTCTCAAGTTTGGTTGCTATAGGAATTCTTTGTGGAGGGAAACGATGGATGCCGCGGATGACGAAATAACGGAAAAAATCTACGATAAAAAAACACGAAGTGAGCATCGGTGATTGAAATTTATGATCTTTGTTCTGTATATTTTCTTAATTTTAAAATTATAGGAATATTTTAAAAGATCAAATATTTTAAAACAGGATTTCCTCAATTAGAAATAAACATTATTATCAATAAGCGGTTCATAAAAATCATTATTGAAAAAACTTAGTACTCGTTATTTTGTCTAAACAGTCCTTTATATATATACATATATATATTTCCTCTTTTTTTTTAATTAAGGAGAAGTTGGCATTATTTCCTTAATTCGATGATAGATGAATAATTGTGAATATTTAATTATGATTATCAATAACAGACAAGATCAAATTTAAGACTATTTAATCAAATAGATTTTTTATAATATCAGTTATTATATTAAAAATTATTATGACATACATCTAGAAATCTAAAATAATTCATTTTTTTAACAGCATGTGGCGTTATTCTCGTGGCAGCAGCAGTCATCATCTTCCTCATGGCTCTGTCCTTGATAGTTCGCTTTGTCATGGAAAAAAGCTGGTGGCGAAGATAGATCATCGTTAGAATTGGCCGTTATTTAAAGAACGTTCAGAGATATTCTAATTTACGAACAATTATTTACGATTTTATTAATCTAACATAATTTATTTTAACAGGATATATCTTCTGAGATATCGCGCTGATTATCTTGGAAGGAATTTTCTCTATTTCTTTTGCATACTTTTTTCACCTAAATCTATTATTAGCTTAAACAGAAAGATGTATAAAAATTTATTTTAGCATTATTGATTAATATTCCTTCTTATGTTTCTAATTTTTTTATAGATTTCCTATGATTGTGTTTTCTGATGAAAATAATATAACGACTGAAGTTTAATTGTATATGTAAATTATGTTTGTATCAATACACTTTTTCTTTAGAGGCAATGTTAATTTTTATAAGTATTTATATGCATTATAACTAGCAATATACATCTTTATATTGATTAACGATTGATCCACGATTTTTAGAAATTACTCCGATTCATTCTTGGATGGAGAAAGAATTGATCATTGCATCAATTGGCTGAATTATTCAAATAATTGTAATTTGTTAATTCTGCGTCTGAGATATTGTATAATATTGTGGACTTTGGAGCAAGTGGCATTATGGATCAAAGCTTTAAAAAAGAAAATGATAATAATGATTATCATGATTCAGCAAAATTAATTGTTCTTTCTTCTTGTACGATAATACAAATTATTAAGAAACATACAAATGTATTATAAATGATATAATTGGACTGAATTTCTTGTAATGTATATCATTTATAGTGTTAACATTTTATTTTATTTATTCTGAAAATGTGTGTTATAATACTGATTATGCATTTGGAATTATTATTTTTTTTAAGTTGAATTATATACAATATATAGATGTGATATAGTACAGCTGCAGTAATAATTAAACTGAATAGTTACTTTAAACTGAAGAGAGAATGGCTACATCAAATTTTATAATCAATCATATTAAATATTTTTGTATATTTGTTATAACTTTTATTATATTATTAAATAATCATATTTTATACGTATTTTTATTAATTTATCAATTTCTTTATGTAATTTGTAAATCTCTAACTAATTGAAATGACGTTGGCGACGTTGTATGAAGTTCATAATTATTTGTCAAGCCCGTTATCCACTTAACGTAGAAACTTCGACGCTTATTGGCCCGATGGGACACCGATGACGAAGTAGTGGAAGACCGGAAAGGAGTAGACAACAGCGTGGTGGAAGGCAAGGTAACTGAACAATAAAGTTAAGAAAGGGAAGGGCAAATGGAGGCGCTCATCGTATACTGATTAAAAATACTGCCTCGTATCTCTTGAGAATAGACGATCAGAAAAGCCTGAATATCTTGGGAGATGTAAAAGTTTGTAGCTAAAGGTAAATTCTCTAGGTGAAAATGGATAAAACTACTAAGATTATAAGTAGACTTATAGTCTAGCTAAGTTCTGAATAGTAGTCGTTTAAAGGTACTCAAACATCTCGATATATATCTATGTTTTTACATTTGAAAAATAAGATATTGTATATAGCTGTGTTATTTTATATAAAAGTGTTGGATATATATCTTGCTAAAATCTTTATTAATTTGAGTATTTGCAATTCAAATTACGGTTCTTCTTCTTCTTCTTCTTCTTGTTCTGGCTAGTATTTAAATATGCAAGGGACTAATCTCTGTGTACGTTATGATGAAAAATTGCACGTGCATACAATTTTTATAACGCTTTGAGGTACGAGTTTCTTGTTGAGAATATATGATAATAAAAGGGCCTCATAAAATAAAAAGGTGAGGTCGATTTTCCTCGGCCAGTGGTTTGCGCAAAAGCCGAAGAGGATCAAAGATGATAGAAGCTTAATGTAGAAGGAGAAGCCTCAAGAACGAAAAGGAACGTAGGCTATAAAGCCAGACAAGTTAGCGACCAGAGCAGCGAGGAAAACGAAAGGTCGGAGGGCTGATGAAAAATACAAAAATTTTCTCTCTTGAAAGGGGATGGCGGTGGATTCATGCTAGGAAAACGACGCCAGGACACTCGAGGCCAGAAGGCCCGCGAACGAGGGTAAGGTGTTTGTCAACGGTTGCCGGTAGTTAATTACTTTACATGAAAGGAACTTTCAGCCGTTTCGCCACTCGAGGCAACCTCGGTCCCCGCGTGCCGTCAACCCCTCCATCTCCTCCCTTCCGCATCTCCTTCACAGACCTGAGTGCCACCCCTTTCCACCCCTCGCGTCCCGAGTCCCTCATCTTCCTGTCACCTGTAAGAGTTTACGAGTATCTAATCTGGCAGACGGGCCGTACTTACTCTGTAAACGAGGTACCTCGCCTCTTTTGTAGCGACCTCGATAAAGAGAATGGAAGTATGCATAGGTCTCCATTCAAAAATATGTAGTGCGTTACACTTCGTTTGATCTCGATTGCTATTGAAATAATCAGAGTAGCGAACCGACACACGACTTTTAATTTAGTTCAAGAATGTTTTAAAAGCACATTCACTATTTTTTTACTTGTTAGATCGTGTTAATTAAATTTTTTGATAGTGTGCAATTATTGACAAAATACTTTTTTAATCACATTTTATATACTTTCTCCTCTTTATTGAATATTTAAAAATATGTATACATATACATGAAACCTTATTTTTATAATTTATTATTTACGATAAATATATTATCTCAATTTGAAAATGAATTTTTAATAAAAATTAAGGCTAAACATTTTTTTATTAAATGCGTTTAATTAAATTACAACTCATGTTTATATTATACAAAACATATTTTATCAAATGCCATATTGCTCTATTTTTTATTGTGTAGCTTGAGTTATTCTACAAAAGTCTTAATATCTTATGCGAAAAGCAAGACATGAAAAAATAATATACACATTTCTATTTTTGAGACGTAAGTCGAAATATCTTTGACCCTAAAAGAAACTGAAGGGACGAAATAAAAAATGAAAGAACGAAAGAGGCAAATTCTCGTATAAGCATTACTCTGATTGCACGCGCGATGAAACAACTCGCCTTATAAACTATTACTACACTTTCTTCGAAACCATCTGTCGCATATCGTCTTTAACGTTTTATCCTCTTGGATTTATATAAGCTGATTGAAAGATAGGAGCAAAATTCATACGTAGATATACGATATATATGATAAGATTTACATGTACTGATTAATTGCAAATTATAGGATTTTATTTGTCTTATAAAATTCGTAATCTTCATATTTTTTATTAATTACAGTTAAGATGACAAATTATCATCACTTTTCTTTTTTTTTATTTTTTTATTTTTTTACTCTATCTTTTTTCCATAAGTTTTTGCATTAGTCATTTGATAAGCATTATGTATATAAAATAGTAACTATGCTGTCGCTTTACCATTTGCGTTTTTACTTTCTCATTTCCATGTTACATTCATATAAATTTTTGTTTGTACACAATAAATTAAATGAAAACCGTAAACTACGTGGAACACTTTTATATTGTGTACGTTGTAATTGAAATTAGAATTAAGTCACAATTTACAATAGATTTTCTTTCTGTGGTGATTGCATATTCGGCAAAAGTTTGAGAATGTACAACGCACATTTCGAGTAGAGCATTTTTGCAGTTTCTTATTTGCGTTCTCGTATAATAACACAGAAATAGCGCGTGGAAGCGCGATACATCATTCATGTTCGGCCCGAATCTCATATCGGTTTCTGATCCTCCGGCTATGACGGCTTTTGAAGGGTCACTTCCCTCCCGCGCTTCATCTCCCGTGCCCTTAGCCGGCACCGCTGTGTTTATTGTTACGTCGCATTTATGCATGAACCCTCGCGATTCTATTGTCACGTACACATGACGAACTACGCTGAGCGGAAGGGAACGCTTCGTGCTTTCTGAGCGGAAGTCAACGGTGGCGTGAATGGGAGGTGGGGTTATTGGGCCAAAGCGGAAATCGATGACATGGGTGTCTTCTGGGGAGCGCGCGGCCATCTCACCTCTTGAAAGCCAAATTACGTTTTTCTTGTGTTTTTAATTACACGCTCAATGCTCAAACGTTTCACCAGATGATAATTTGTTCACTTTTACTCGTTATTTGCGCTTTTAACCTTTCGAAGCTGATCAAAATTTGTAATATAATTATTGACGCTAAATCTGTGAGACTTACTTAATTCATGTTGACTAAAAGGCATTATTATTAATTAATTGGTATAGGAACCAAAATAATATAACTTGTATAAAAAAGAATGAATAATTTATTTTAATAACAATATTTTAAATGTGCAAATGTGACATAAAGAATATAATTGAGTGGAGAAAATAGATGTACAAATATCAGGTATAACATTCTGTCGATATATATAATTGTTCAAACACTTTTGTGACTAAGTAGAAATTGGTCTCAAATCTTAAAAAATTATATAAATCCATCATTAGAAATTTGCTGTCAATCAGAAATTCAATCATTAATTATACGCAATGTTATATCTTATATTCTTACATTATGAATAAATCCCGTCAGCTTTGGAGAGATAATTGAGTCTAATAAACCCACGTCAGTTCTGGAGGATCTAATGTTATGAAATTTCCCTTATAACAGATTGTCATATGAAAAGAAAGATATAAGAAAGAATTAAGAGGATAAATCACTTTATTATATTAAATACTTTTATATTAGATAATTAACAGAAATTTATTATAATATTAAGACTTTGTATAAAATTTTATGAAGATCTTATACTGGGATAAGTAATTAGAAATTATATCTAATCGATCAAATTGCGAGTCAGCAATATTTGATCGGCCGGAATAACTGGGGAAGTGACATTGGCCAATATCTATATTACATTTCAAGGCCATAATCTTCTGCTGGAGGATGAACCAAAATGGTGCAAGGTCGGAAACACGAGTATTCGTGGGGAGGCTAAACGGGAGAGGAAGCTCTTGGACGTGGTCGTTTCCGGCTGAAGTCTGATGCGTCTTGACTCGAATCCCAACGTTATCGCGACAATTGAATGGGTCGAACTCTCCTTGCTTTGGCGTTCTCGCTGCACGGCTACGATAAGCCTCAGAAACAGCCCTTAATGGTTTCCCTCGCGATTGCTGGTATCTATATGTATATCCTCGATTCAAGCTTGTCGCGTCCTTGTCGCACCTCTCTTCCCGTTATACCATCGATGTTACCACTTTTGCAGAAACACTCATCTAGTAGCTCGGCTG